TAAGAACTTAACTCACATCCTGCTTTTAGCCCCCCTCTTGTCTACACACACACAACTCTCTCTCTGAATCTGGTTTGCTTCAAACCAGGCTAGCTGGCCTGGCTGGGGGCTGACTTCAGGTGTCTCTTTCTGCTTTCACTCAGGCTGGAACCTGGCCACTTTGCAGTGAAGACACAGGCTAAATCATTTGAGTGCTGATAGCCCTCCAATGCCTTCCCCCAGTTCTCCCCATGTACCCCAAAGGACAGACAAGTTCTCCCACAATTCACTGGGAAAGAATAATACTAATTCTTGTAGCACAAAGAACTATGGGTGGTGCCCACCGAACAAAACACGTCTCCCTTTCAATGGGAGAAGCTCTCCTTTACTTCCTCTCTTACTTAGTGTCATGGGTGCACAATGTCTGCTGTGGTTCACCCCAGAAGCAGCTGCATTTCATCAGCTGAAGAATGGTTACTATTCACAACAATGCTCTGTATGAATCAGCCACCCAAGACACCAACATACATTTCTTGTCAAGGAGAGGTGGGTTGTCAAGGAGAGGTAAATTCAAGGTGGATAATATAGTATGGGTGAATTTGGGGGTATTTGAAAGAGATGGCTTAAAACAGATTGCTGCTCATTGGAGCCATCCTGTTCTCTCTGTAATCTATAAACCAGACATAGGCATGCAGCCAGATTTTCAAAAGTGGCCATTCCAAATTTTGGAAGCCCAACCGGAGACGATTTTCAGAGATGCTGAATACCAGCAGCTCCACGCACTGCAGCTGAAGTTCTGTGTGTGCCACAATTTGTAAAATCAAGCCCAGCATGTCTCCCACTGTAGACCCCCAAAATGGAAGCACCTATGTTTTTGAAAACCTTGGCCTTCATCCATAATGAACTGTTGGAGCCACAGGATCAAAGTCACAATAGGATCAAATCCTGATATTTTCACTCAGTCTCAAGCAAAACTCTCGTATAAAGTCACTAGACGTTTTGTCTGAGTAAGGACTGTGGATTTTGCCTCCTAAGAACACAAGGTAATAATCATCTGACATTTCTGCAACTCCATTCATTCTTCAGGATCCAATGGTGTTTTGCAAACTCCACACAGGACCACTTCAGGAGAAGGAGTAGCAATAGACTTTCCTCTGGGGCAGGCAGCTGTATGGCTCATGGGATGCCTTGAGAAGGCAGGGACTGGTTTTTGCAGGGAACTGAACGTGTCTGTGATGTACTCTGAGCTGCTGTAGACGGAACTGGCCGCATGATGCTGGGAATGTGATTTAAAAACTGGAAAAGCATAAGCCAGCGTATTCTCAGAGGCACTATAATGTAATGTATATGCCCAAGTAATAAACACAAGACCCCTGTCTCGGACTCAGTCTGGCCAGTCAAGGACAAAGCTCAGGAGGCGGGAGCTTGGGTCAGAATTCTAATCCGCTGCGGCTTGATTAGTTAGGTTGTGTTAGCACCCTTAACACTCCGCAGGGGTTTCCCAATTGCCCAGCTACCCCAGACTCCATGTAACTCTAGATTCCAATAGGATGCAGCATTTACTTGCTGGTGTCCATCTGAGCTGTGGATCTCTTCATTAACCAGAGCTGAAGCCAGACTCTTCTCAATCAGGTTAGGCTCCTAGGAATTGAATGTAGCCACATGTTTATAGCTAGGGAAGTCATTTAGGGACTGATCCAGAGGGAATGAGCTAAACATCAGCCTTCCTCGACCTTGGACTATAGGCTTAGATCCAGCTGGGCCAGCTGTATTCTTCCAAGGAAGTGGAATTGAGTTCCAGGTATTGGGTCTGTCAGATGAGACTTTTAAAAGATGAGTGACTGTAGTCTGTCCATGGAAGTTAAAGATCCCATGGCACTGGTCACCCCTCTGTATTTATGCTGAGTCTTAGATGCATGGAGATGCCACAGCAAGGCCTGGGGGGAGGAGGGAGACATGCCTCTTAGCTCTCCTCCTACACATCTAGCCATATTTGTTTGGTGTTTGCATGTGTAACCCAGTAGAAAACTTGTGTTACAAGTCCCCAGCTGTGTCTGAGCTACAGAGGATGGGTTTTACAGCTGCATCAAGGGAGGCTTGCATTAGCAGTTTGTGATTTTTGCTTTGGAGGTCCCTGGTTCAGTGCCCAGTCTGGCAGCCAAAATGGCAGCTGTCACATAAACCTTTGTTCTCCTCTGTGCCTTGCAACTGAGGGGAAAGTAGGGTCCTTAGGCTCCATGCATTTAATCAGTAAAGTGTCTAACATCTGGAGGAAGCTACTGTATGCATCCAAGAACATCGTTATGGATATCTGTGGTAATGAACTCTGGTTCATTACCAGCTCCCTGTACAGGAGAGTCATTTCTTCATTCACAGAATGTGCTCACTTAGGAAATAAATCTCCCCAGCTGGTATTATCTACGATGGCAGGAAATGTGGACTTGCCCCATTATTTAGTCCTATCCAAACCAACGTATCAGTCCATGCCCGAGCTGAGCTCAGCTGGACCTTTCCTTAGCCTGATGAATAGGCCTGGGCACAAATTTTCCATCAAAATGGTTTTTTCAACAGAAAATTGAGTTTCCGACCAAATGAAAATTTTCATGGGAAGTGTCTGCTTTCCTCGAATTTTCAATTTTTTTTTGCCAGAAAACTGAACCCCTCCTCCCAAACTGAACATTTTGGGGGTTTTGGCCAAAAAAAGAACCAGGTGTTTTGATGAAAAATCAAAATTTTCTGCTGAAAATTGCCAAAAAAAATTTCCCCATTTGTGTCCAAGAGGGGAAAATAATTCATTTTTCAACCAGCTCCATTGCCAAGTGTATTTGGTAACAGGGCACAGAATCCCACCAACCGAGATCCCCTTTGACTTTAGCAGCTCACATTATGGGGCTAAGCAGCTACAACCATCTTTACCCTGGGCCTTGGCACGCACGACTCTTGCCTGCAACTGAGCACTGGGTGTTCTCTTTAAGGTTCACCTCGGCCCTCCTGCTATAAAGGGAAACCCCCAGAGTTTTGTGTTGAGATGCACCTAGGAGGCCAATGAAGGCTACTTCCTGCCTTTGTCATTTCAGAATCCCTGTCTGACACACCCTGGCTTCAGCAAAGCAGATACTAGACTAGTAACCACATCCTCGCTGCCGATGAAAAGGCCTACTCTTTGCTTTAAGAAAAAGACACTGGCAGTGTCACTGGTTTTATTAAGCCTTTGCAAGGTCTCGAGGGGACGGGAATGGGGATTTCCAGCATACGTAATGGACTAACAACGTCCACAGATGCATCTGCTTGAATCCCTAACACAAACCAGGGTTTGGGGTCGGCCAGGGCTGAATTCCCAAATCTTGCTGGGGAGATTTCTGACAAAAATCTGACCCGTCCTTGTGAAAGTATTTTGAAGGGGTATCTTCAATCCCCCAAGTGTTCTGAAATTAGTACAATCAATGAGCGAAGGGGCACCGTATGAAGATACAAACCTACCTGGTAAAGGCAGCTAGAAAATTAAGTGTGTATTTAATTTTACACAGATTCCTTTTAATTTCAGCTCAGAGAAAGCTGCCCAGTGATCATAGGTGTTGGTGCTGGGGGTGCTGCAACACCCCCTGGTTTAAAGTGGTTTCCATCATCTATAGGGTTTACAATTTGGTTCAATGACTCTCAGCACCCCCACTATACAAATTGTTCCAGCACCCCTGTCAGCGATGGCTGATCATGCTGGTGGTATTATCTCATTGTTTACTTGCACTCCCCCATTTATATATATAACCCTCTGTTGTCTCTTGTCTTATACTTAGATGGTAAGCCACTTGGGCCAGGGACTGTCTCTTTGTTCTGTGTTTGTACAGTGACTGGCCTAATGGATTTCTTGCCCAGGCTGGGGCTCTTAGGTGCTACAGAAACACAAATAATAAATAGTAATAATGGCAACAGTAGAAGCCACTTGCAAAACTATTAGGGCAAATACTTCTTGATTTCAAGGGGACTTAAAGCACATGCTTAAAGTAAAGCATGTGCTTAAGGGCCAAAAAGGCTTATCCATCTTTGCTAAGTGCTTTGAGATCTGCAGCTGGAAAAGCATTGGCTTTTAGCTTGTGCTATATAGCAGCTTATGCTTTTAGCTCTGAAGGTCCCCAGTTCAGCTGTCAGCCCAGCAAGCAGCCTTCGCACATGCACGGCTAACTTAGCTACATGAAGAGCAAGCAGACTTTGTCAGATGTGCTTTGGGTGAGGCAGGAATTTGCCACAGTCTCTCTTAGCTTGGCAGGCACCATTTATAAGGCATGTAAATGCAAGGAAATTGATGGTCAGAATCTTTTGGTCAAATTTTTGAATTTCAGCAGGGAAAAAAAGGAAAATAATTTCCTGGTTTTCAAGTGGCTCTAGAAGCGAATAGCTAGGTACATCATGAGTCCTATCTCTCCCACATAACAAACACATCATTCTCTTTGAATGTGAACTAACTTATGTTTCATCACACCACAATCACCTCCACTCTGACTCTTAATGAAAGCTACTCCTTCACCAGTGACCTCAAAATAGAAACACTGCACAAAACTTTTTAAAAAGATACATGAAAATTTATACAGACTTTCAAATGACACATTAGAGATGATCTATATTGTATGTGCTGTTCGGTTATTTCGGGAGTGAGAGCAGTTGGAGGCAGGCAGGCAGATAATTGGGAATCTGATTGAAAATGGGGTGGTAAAAGGTTCTCAAGGACAGTTTGCAGCAGGCAGTGAAGAGAGTACTGTACCCAGCTCCCTAAGTTAACTGTACCCAATTAACCTCAGCTCCTGCCCTGCTCAGACACAGAGTAACCAGAAAAAGAACCCACTGGTTTTGCATAAGGGTTCATGGACCCCAACGAATTGGATTCAATCTGCGATGCTGGCAGATGTCATTTTCAGGCAAGGCTTGGCAGCTGTGGGGCACTCGCAGCTGCCAGCCAACTCAAAGGGAGAATGTGATCGGAGTTGCTGGTTTAGTCATGACACCGGGCTCTTGTTTCTTCTCTTCAGGAGGCCCTTTCGGTGGTGAGTGACGACCAGTCCCTCTTCGATTCCACGTACGGTGCTGCCGCTCACCTCCCCAAGCCGGACATGACGGCCTCAGGGAACCCCGACTACGGCCAGCCACACAAAATCAACCCTTTACCTCCCCAGCAGGAGTGGATCAATCAGCCGGTCCGGGTCAATGTCAAGCGGGAATATGATCATATGAACGGATCCAGGTAAGGAAAGGCGTGCGTCTGCTCATCTGGTATGTTCCTATATCAGGGAAACCTTGCTCACAAAAGTGATCTCCTGTACATTACCCATATGCTTGTGTACATACAAACCCATCCCTTCACTTAGGGGCAGATCCGGTTCCCGCTGGAATCAAGGGGAGTTTTGTCATGGCCTTAAATGGGGACAGGATTGGAACCTTGCAGTTTTGCAACTTGCATCTCCATAGCTATTGTTAGGGCTGGGGTTAGAGGCCTCCAAGGACCGACCCGGTGTTGCAGGCACTGATGTAGGCGGCACACTCCAGTGCCCTCCCAGTAGGTCAGGACTGAATCCAGCACTGGTAGTGGATGCTGCACTGCCGGAGACAGCGTTGGCAATACAGTAGGAGGCGCTCTCCCCTCTGTCTCCACTCAATGTCTCAAGGGGCCATGCTGCGGCTGGAGGTGCCTCTTTCAGGTAAGATTTACTACTGAGGCTCTGGTCATATGTGACTTTCCCCCAGGTACAGTGATCAAAAGCCATAAATCCACTGTCTTGCGGAATATCACAACATTTAAGTCCCACCAGTGAAAAAGAGAGAGCCTGGGCAATAGTTGTGCCCCGTGATGATAATGATCAAGAAGTCACAGGAATGAAGTGCTGGCCGGGATGGCTATAGAACTGCATGGGCCAGCAAATCTAGGTGCCTCTGCATACTCTCCAGCCAGTCCAGTCAGAGGTGGGCGGAAAGTGGTTGTCCCGTCCCAGGAGAATGTTAAAGATATTTTGAAAAATTTTCCTGTCCCAAATTGGGATAAAACATTGAAATCTCGCAAAATGTTTACAAACTGAAAATCAGGGGGAACAATCAAATTGTGTCAATCAAAATGTTTCCTTTTGCTCATTTCGATTTAAAACCTTGGTTTCTAAGAAGAGCCTTACAATGAACTACATTTGAAACAGGAAGCCCTGCTGCCTACCACTTTTAAATCTCTGGGGACAGGCAACTGTAGCTAAAGATCTGGTACTGCCGTGTATGTGGGGTTTGCCCTGTAAGTGCAGAGTAGAGATATGTTTGCAGTGTTGTTGTAGCCATGTTGGTCTCAGGATATGAGAGAGACAAAGTAGGTGAAATAATACCTTGTATTGGACCAACTTCTGTTGGTGGAAAGGACAAGGTTTCAAGATTCAGAGAGTTTTTCTCCAGACCTGAGGAAGAGCTCTGTGAAGCTCAAAAGCTTGTCCCTTCCTGCCGATGGCGGGGTGGGGTGGGGAGAGGGTCGTCCGACCAGTTTTGCACCAATGTTTATGAATACAGAATGGGAGTCCCAAGTGCAGAGTAAAAATAGAATAGCAGGTGTGTCTGGGAATCTCATCCTTCCAGAGGAATGGAAGCAATAGAATGGATCCGGCAAATGCAAGCAGGTTAGCATTATCTTACCACTGTAGCCTAAAATATAATTTATAATATACTGTTCCTCCTTTTGACCCAAGTGACTAGCCAAAAAATTTGAGGTCTAGTAGGTTGTTCCAGTTAGGAGGAGGAATTGGTAATAGTCAGGTATTTCTTTGATGCAGTTTTGTTTATTTACAAAGAATGTACAAAGTCCTGTTTCTCTGACTGCAGAAGGAATCATATAGCAGGAAAGAGCTTCTTTAACTTACAGCACCAAGAACATTCTTGTCAGCTTGCATACCCAACCCAAAAACCTCTCCTCAGGTTTCTTCCAGGGTCAGAAACCATGCGTTCAGCACTCTTTCAGGCTGTCTCTCTCGCTCAGTCTGTCCCAGGTTTTTGTCTGTTCTGCCTTTCCTTACACATACACCCTTGCCCAAACCAATACTCAGCAAAAGCTCCTGGGTGGGTTCACGTGCTTCTTTTGTCTTAGGTAGGGGTCATCATTACAGTGAATTGAAGCGTGAGTGTACACCCTCAATCTCAATGAGGTTTTATCTCAACCCGAAACAAGGTTCACATAGCCCATAACAAAACAGTGGCAGTATGGAGCATGCAGCTGGCATAAAAACATGTCTTCATGTGGGATGAAGATTTGTGCACTATGCTGGACAGAAGGTTTGACTGTTTTGTCTTATGATTAGTTCACTGATAGGTTCTGAGATGGCTGAGTTGGCTTAGATGGTGACTTGGACTACATGACCCACAGGGGCATAAGGAGGGGTAGGAACCCCTTTATACCTCTCCATGGGGTACCCAAATCTTGGGCAGGGTGTGTTAAGCTGAGAGCTTACAACCACTGAGGAGATTGGAGGCCCAGTCCACTACTAGACAGAAGACCCACCTACTCACGACTGAGAGATTTGCCCTGTCCCCCAGTCTCCATCACAGCTCATTGTCATGGCTTGGGCCATTCCAGTCACCCCGCTGCTCCGCCCATCAGCTGCCTGCCAAAACTGACACACCATCTGAACAGCGAACGCCAGCCTCAATACAGATGAACTCGAACTGTGGACTGAATAATAAAACCTTCCTCCCACCCCTCTGTCACTGCCTTTTTCTCTCTTGTTTTTCAAGTGCGCCCTCTTACCAGGCTCCAGCTGCCTTGTTAGAGAGAGCAGCCTTTATTCTGCGCTTCACCTGTGCTTGACGCAATAGCATTTGCTGCTTGACGGGAGAATGGCTTGTATTCTCTAGGGAGTTATTAAGCTATATGATTCCTGACAGTGGAGGGAGCTGGATGGGGGTAAGTGACCATGTCCAGCTTTCCCTTTTATTTCTTTTCTTAGCAACTAGAGACAGGCCCGACTGGTGCGGTTTAAGGAGATGAGTTGCAGGTGGGATGGGAGCAGGGGTCTCGGAAGATCAGGGATCTATGGGAAGGATCTCTGCATGTCCATCCTCCCATCAGATAGAATACAACCTCAGTGGTCCTTTTAGCCTGCAAAGACCATTGCAAGATGAACAAGCTTTTCAATGCAAGTCATATCTGCCCAGTTCATTCTGAAACAGGGGCTGGAAATGCTTCCCATACATTTGGCATCTATGTAATCGCATATATTGCACTTTCAATCAGTGGCAGCTCAAGACCTATATTCTTGGCGAGACACCGGGCTCAAAATACCACTGCAGGATTTGGGAAATGGATCCTTTGGGAAAGTTTCAAGCTAAATTTTCAAATCTGGGTGCAATTTATGCAGCCACAAAATATGTGCTTGCCGTCACACATAGCTGGCAAGTCTCCGCTGGCATAGTCATATTCTGCAGTGGTTAATATGTCTGAATGTGGAGCAGTTAAAGGCCAATGTGGAAAATGTAACATTCTTCAGCCTCTTAGACCACCTTACACATCAGGGAGGGAGGATGGACTTGTGGTTAAAGCATTGACTTGTCACTCAAGAAATGGGGGTTCCATCTCTACTTCTTCCACAGATTTAATGCGTAAATCATTTAATTAGAACTGGTCAAAATTTTTTTTGTGAAACTGAAATGTTTCTCAGGTCCAGGACAGAATCTCGTGGCAGCGGAGAGGAAGACAGAGACCCAACCCCAAATAGTCATTAGCTCAGTGTTTAGGGTACTGGCATGGGAGAGCCATGTTCAAGTGTCTTCTCTGCCTACTTCAGAGCTTGGATTTCAATGTGGGTCTCCCACATTACATGCAAGTGCCATACCCCTGGCTAGTCTGGAAAAAAATGTCTAAAGGTCTCTGTTTCATTCTGCTGCAGAATGAAAACATGTTTGAAACCTTGATATTATTTTGCAAAACAGAATTCTTGTTTTCCAGCCAGCCCTCCATTAAACCGCTCTGTGCATTGTTCTAACATGCCTTGTTCTAGCATCAGTTCCCCCCACCTGTAACTAGGGGAGACAATCTTTCTTTTCTCCTCCTCTTTGTCTCTTTGGTCTGTTTTGATTGTAAGCAAGTTGGGAAAGAGGTGATCTCTTCCTATGTATTTGTACAGCACAAAGGACCCCAATTTCAGCTGGGGCCTTTGGGCACTGCCAGAATACAAATACAGCTGGTTAATTTTTTCCAAAATTTGGGTGTTTTTTTTTTTAACAAAAGTGTTCATGGAAATGTTGAATTTCAATGAAGGAAAACCAGGATGAGTGTTTTGCAGAAATTTTGCATGAAACGTGCATCCTGCTTTTCAATCAGCTGCTCCAAATTTCAATGGAAAAGTTTGAAGTTCAGTGAGGGGGAAAAATGGAAGGATTTGGTCACCAAAATTATCACCAAAAAAGCCCAGTTTTTCAAACTAGCTCTAAATACAAATAATAACCCATAACACAAAAATCCCAAACCTCTTGCTGTCTTTAGTGATTTATCATGAATTACATCACTGTAACCGAGAGCAGAGGGTGGCCTTTCCGACATGCGAGTTCTGAATTTCATGACAATAGTATCAATTTAATCACATAAATAAAGTGGGGTAAAATGTCCAAGTGCTTGGTATGTGCATGTGTGTGGAGGAATTTAGCTGTGTAATTCCCACTGATGTTAATGAGTTTTGCTTGGCTAATGATCAAATCAATGCTTTGAAAACATCCCCTGAAATATTAAAATATCATTAAGGTTCAGGCAGCTCATTTTATGGCATAATAAATGTTGCCACAAAATTGTCTCTAAGTAAAACAAAAGGACTCCCTGAACTTATTACACTTTTCCTGTTTTCTCTTCGCTGAAGTGTATATGAATAGCAGTTTCCCTTTAACTAGTATGTGAGCCCTCTAGGGGCGCTCACTGTGTTCTGTTTTAGAAGCCTTGCAGAGCCTTGGGTGTATATGTAACTAGTCCTTGAATGTTGGGTATGGTCAGTAAACACTGTTATCGGGACCCCGCTGTGCCCATGGGGTTTCTTCATACTACTTTGTTGTTGTTGTGTTAAAGAGCAAAAGACTTTTATATACTATTATCAGGTCCCCTTCCTCATCTGCTTGCTAAGTTAAACAATCCCAGTCTTTTCCATCTCTCTTCATATGAGCGCTTTTCCAGGCCCTTGATCATTATTGTCACCCGTTTTTGAACCCCCTTTAGTTCTGCAAATATTGCTTAAGTAGCAC